TCTTTAAGAAGAGGTTGACAGACCATGGTATATATTCCTCACTCGTGAGAGATTAACGTTTCTCGAATGTGAATAGCCTAGTTCTGAAGAGATGACGTTTATTGCATAGCAACCTAAGGCAAGCTTCCTGCTTCAGTTTATTGTTTGATGCCTAAGAAGAGGTTGACTGATCATGTTACATATTTCTCGCAAGCTTCTTGCTCAAGTTTATTGTGTGATCTTTAAGAAGAGGTTGACAGACCATGGTACATATTCCTCAGTCTAGTCAGAGATCTATGGTTCTCGAATGTAAATAGCCTAGTTTTGGTTAGATGACCCTTAGTGCATAGCAACCTGAGGCAAGCGTCCTGCTTAAATATATTGCATGATCCTTAAGAAGAGGTTGACAGACCATGGTAAATAATCCTCATTCTAGACATCTATAATCCTCGAATGTGAATAGCCTAGTTCTGAAGATATGACTCTTGGTGCATAGAAACCTGAAGCAAGCTTGATGCTCAAGTTTATTGTGTCAGTCTGCGACTACCTTCGTCATGCTTTCAAGGCAGAATTTGCAGCTCTGGAATCCTATCTGTGGACCATTTCTTAGAATATCCTCTGGGGCAGCTATAATGGCATACCAAAGAGATTCCAGTTGATTGGTTGATATTTAGGTTGTTGGACATTCTAAGTGCAAATGATCATAGTCTCCACCAAATGCACTACTCTGTTTCAACTGCTGCCGCTGCTGTAATCGCTGGCTATTGAAGCTTAATGTCTGCGTTGGCTATTGAAGCTTAATGTCTGCGCTGGCTATTGAAGCTTAATGTCTGCGCTGGCTATTGAAGCTTAATGTCCGCTTAATGTCTGCAGCAACCTTTCCATAAGAGGCCATCTGTAAGACAGCTATACCTGCAGATACATCAGATTCAGCCTTGCAGGGCTGAATCATTTTTTGAACCTAAACATTTTTTGACCTGCTTAGAGGGAGTTCGCTTCTGCTGCACCACCTCGTCTCGTTAGGTTGAAGAACTGATAAGCTCTTGATCCAACGGGAGGACAGTTGTTTCCTCTGTAGCCTCGTGGTCGAATTCTTTGGTTACTTCATGGCTCAAAAAGGATCCTATCAGTAGCTAGGTAAATGAGGTCCATAACACCAGAGTATCGCATCACTATGAGAAAGATTTTTACAGAAAAAGGACGCTCAGCTGAATGAGCTGAATGAGCTCAAAGTCATAAATCCTTTTAGCACAAGTACTCTCCTTAGCAAGAGGCGTCATTTAGAGGTACCGTCATCTACACAAGTGACACCCCACCCAACAGGGGTTTTCTAGCACCTTTCATTGTAGAATTGTATCAGTAATAGATTTAGGGTAATGAAATTTGAATTTAATGAATATCACGTTTCTCTACCTCCATCTAGTAGTCCTTTGTAAAAACATAAAAGGCAACCCGTGCTTTCAACTATACTAAAAACTTTTTAGCGCCTCTCGATAATTTTTTTCAGCATAACAATGTTTTAGCTAGTTATGCGATGAAAATGAGTCTTTTTCAGGATGTTTTTTGGTTTCTTTTCAGGTAGCTACGTGGTCGTTGAACACAAAGATCCGATCAGAGGAAATTGGCACAGAGCACTCGTTAAGAAAACCGATATGAATACTGAAACTGTTCATGTCATGCTTGTTGATTGGGGATTGAATGCTGTTGTTTCATGGTCTAGCGTCAGATTGCTGTCGGAATCTTTCACCAAATTAGAATCTCAGGTATTTTTGTTTTCCTTTTGTTCATGTCAAATATTTACTGATCTTTTAAGCTTTCGCGGCTAGATGTCGAACTTTGATTATCCAAGCTAGGTAACGATAGAATGACTGAACAGTTCACCCATAACTGCGATGGGCATTCTCGTTGGTAGCAGAGCATTGCAATCTCTTGGTTGGTACACTTGTTTATGATGACAGCTGTACAAATGAAAAAATATTGGAAGGAATACAAAATAACTGTTTTCTCATTTGAAACAGTGAGTGACACTTTTAAATATTGAAAAATGCAAAGGAATCGCCCAAAACTTGATGAAAATCAATTCGATTCATATGACCCGTGTTCTTAATGACCAATAATTGAGTTTAGGCAAAAACCAAACATGAAAAAACTACCAACATATTACCAATTTCCACATTAAGAAACGGATTCAGAAGAGAAGAGTTCAATTATATTTGGTCTTTCAGTAAATTTTCAGAATTCTTAAAAAACGTTTGTTTTTTTATAAGAACAGACGTGGGCTTGATTTATGGGACAAATAGTAATTTGAGCAAATCTATTATAAACAATGAAGACAAATTTCAGTACTGGATAGATAAGGAGTACAAAGGTTGGCTTGTGGTTCATTCTCAAAACTTTATATTGGCCAAATGGGGATAACGTTTTTCCAAAGAATAAAAGAACATATGAGTAGTTTCTTGAATGTGAAGGGCAAACCATATTTTGACAGAGGGGCCAGAGGTGCATGAGTGCTTAGAAATTAATAGATTGAAAAATTTTGAAAATTCACTGAATGACCAAATAGAGAAATTCAAAGACAATCGACCAATTAGTATTCTTATCACTGGTTCTAAATTTTTCGTAAAAATATTTCACAGTCAAAAAATCATATCAAATACAACCACTCATTATCTTGAAACCGATCCGATTTCAGAACCTTCCGTAGGTGCAATGTAGCACTGCTGTTCGATAACATCATACAATAAAATGGAATCTACTCACAGTATTATTCCCCCTTGACTATAGTAAGGCTTTTGACAAAATTAATCATGATCTACTGTCAGCGACGTTGGCTGTCCTTGGGTTCGATTATATTTCACTTGATTCAATTGAAAACTATTTCACAATAAACCATGGAAACGAGAAACAGAGTTCCGCAAGGCTCAATATTGGGCCCATTAATATATTTGCTTGTACAGTAGTCTTCTCCCAGAAAGTTTGCAACAAGCAAACATCAGTTAATATAAATTCTACAAAGTCACATGCTTATTATCACATAATAATAAATCAAATGTTTTCAACAGGAATATTTTCTGATATTTTTGAAATATCCAGTGCATACCCTTGTTTTTGGTTTCAGAGAAGTTCAATTTGTTTTCTTTTTAGGCTGTGTTAGTAAAAATGGTTCACGTTGAACCCTCCGAAGTAGGACAACCTTGGTCAGAATCAGCTAAGGTGTTCTTGCAGAAATTTTTCCGAATGCAGGACGTCCTCAAAATGGTGGTTCATAATGTTGATCCGCTAGAGGTCGCCTTATTCGAATGTCTTGGCAATGTTGACATTTGCATCAATGCCCAGTTAGTAGCAGAGAACTACGGGAGGTCTTCTGGAACAGTGTAAGTACATTTCGTTTAAATATATTAGGAAATGAAGATAATATAGATGTCACTTTCAACACTGAAATTTTATTGGTTATTATTCAGTCGATAATTTATTTTGATTGAATAGAGGTTCGTAATTGTCCCTGATATTTGCTTTGCAGATTTATTTTACTGCTACAAAATCCCCACATGGAGACACCATATTTCAAGTGAGATTCAATAGGGACTGTTCCTCAATTTGGGTTATTACAGCAAATGCAAGTTTGAACAAAATAAAGTTGAGTTCAATTCATGAGTTTTTCAAATTCGATTCGAAAAGTATTCAAATTGATGTTTCAAATGCTGGGTTTCAATTTTTAAAGGGATTTGTTTCTAATTCACATATTGGAAATAGCGCCTATATCAAGTTGAAATAATTTATATGTACCTAGATATTCTACTTTTAAAAAGGAAAATTATCATAAATCAACAATTGAGGCAAAATATAAATTATAGTTCAATACCACCTCCACAAGCCACATAAACAACAGTTGTTTTGTTATTTATTTATATAGAGGAAGATAGGTTAGGTGCACATAAGTTCTGAAAATGTATAGATTAAACATCACCATGTATGAAGTGATAGTACAAAGAATAAATCGTTAATTTATTGTTAAAAGGATTCGCTAAAATACTCTTCCAAACTATAATAGGGTCTATGTACAAGTAGGTTCTTCACCGCCTTTTTGAAATGAATGTTGCTTAGATTCACTTTGCTTTCGCACCTTTCAAACGGCTCTAGAAGTATGCTAAATTGTTTTTAGGTGTTGTATTCCTGAGGTCACCTCCCCGACTTAAAATGTTTGAATATGGAACGGTATTTTAATCACAAATTTCCACAGTTTTTTCCACAAATGAGTGATTATTTCCGCATACCCAAGAAAAACAGTTTTTGTTTCTCGTCAAATAGCTTTTGGAATTTTTGGATGTGGATTCTGTTTCTGGTGTTGTAAAAATAATTATAAAATTTCTGAATGCAATCATTGAGGTAATTATTAAAAATGGGTCACACTGTATAAACGATGTTCTCGAACTTTTTGAAAGCAACAGCACCATACTTGTCAGTTATGCTGATGATTCCAATTTATTCTCATCACTTGACATATGAATATTTTATTCAAAATGAACTTCTTTTGAACACAGCCAAAACTAATTGTATAGTTTTCAGAATAGTTAATACCTCCATCATTGTTTCAGAGCTATGAATCATTTTCATTAGCCCTTAGCTAGATTCAAAGTAACTTCATGTGGATCCGAATACATTGGTCCAAAGACATATAATCACCTTTCAGATCATTTAAAGGCCTTGAATAGTGTCTCTGTGTTCAAAAAATCATATAAGAATGAATTATTAGAGAAATGTTTTTATGCCTTGCAGGAATTCATTGGGTAACTCAATTATTTTTTTTTTCACCGTAGTGTGCGCTGGTCAGGCCCTATCCCCCGAAGCCCCGATACATTCGGGAGGGCGCGCCAGCATTATCAACCAATGACCACTCCCCACACCGTGGGGTAAGTGATCATTGGGTCCGAGAATCATG